CTCCTGCCTCTCAGGGAGAACCCGGAGACTCGTGGGTGTTGAATGAATGAATGAATGAATGAATGAATGAATGAATGAGAGAGAGAACAGGCAGGGGCCCCACTGTGCGCCAGGCTCACCTGCGCCCTCTCCTGGCTCCCCAGGGCCCCTCCTGCCCTCCTCAGGCCCTGCGACTCCTCCGTGGCCGCCTGCCCCTGGGCTGATGGTCATTCTGTTGTGGTTGCCAACCGTGGTGTCCTCAAGGAAGCACGCGTGAATGTGGACTCTCTGGGCCATGACCCCCTCGGTCTGAGCTCCTGGTTCAGGGATCTGAATTTCAATGGAAGCTTCTGGGCCGGCCGTCGGGACAGAAACTGTGGGTCAGCCAAAGAGAGAGATGCTGGGAGGGGTGTGTGAGCAGCTGGAGCCCCAGCCTGGCTCCAAGTCCTCCATGGGTGGCTCTCCTCCCTGAACCTCCTCACGGTGGCCCACGCCGTCCATGGCAGAGACCTTGCCTCACATGGCACCTCTGCACATGCCTTTCACTGGCCTGGGCTGCCAGCTATCTCGACCCCTGGCTCTGCCAGCTTGGGCCCCCTCTCCTCCTGCAGCCTGGCACAGCTGACCTGGTCCTCTGTGCCTTCTCCTGGGACTCAGCCAGTCCCTGCTGCTGCCTCCTGCTCCCCTCCTGTCTGCTGTCGGCTTCCCAGCAGGTCTGGAACACCTTCTCCATCTCTGGTTAGAATCTTCACGTGGTCCCCAGCCCAGTCCCCAGCCTCCCTTGTGCCTCTCCTGCCTTTCCCAGCCAAACTTCAGAACAGAGCTGTCCACACTCTGTCTCCCCTCCTTCCATTCCCCACTCTCTTTCTGTACCCTCTGGTCACCACTGACCCCTTGCTGCTGGACCCCGTGGACCTCCCTTGACCTCACTGGCCTCCCCTCTTCTGGAAACTCGTCCCCTGGCGTCCTTGGCTCTCCTCCTCTCTCTCAGGCTTCTCCACTGTGTCTCCCCAGCCTGTCTCTGGATTGCCAGTGCCAGGGAGGACACAGCCTGGGCCCTCTGGTCACTGATGACAGTGCCTAGGTGGCTCCTGTCCTCCGCTCTCCTTAGACACCTTCCCAGTCCAGCCATCTCTGTTGTCCATCCTTCAGCTGGCCCAGGAAATGGTCCCTGCCCATTGTATAGATGAGAAAACTGAGGTTTCCCGAGGAGGATGGTAGGGGTTGAGAACTCGAGTGCCAGCTCTGAAAGACCCACCTGCTCTACTCTGGTACAGCCTCCTGGTGAAAGGGGAGGAATTTCCCACCATGCTTCTCTCCCTACAAGGACTGGCTCAAGTTCTGTCTAGCCCAGAGCCGAGTAGGGAGGGGTGGGGGCGGGATGTGGCCTGCTCTCCCATTACCTGGGGGGCTCCCGCAGGCGCTGTGGGCGGGGCTCTCGGCCGGGTGGCTGTGAAGGCTCATTTGGTTGCCGTGTCCCATCTGTACACGTCTGAGCACAGACTCCTCCATGCGGATGTCCTGGGGCCCCAAGGATCCAGCCAGGGGACCCTGAGTTGAGGGATCAGTTGGCGCCCTTGGAGGGAGGTAAAGCGGAGCCGTGGAGCCTGGCAGGGGACACAGAAATATGACCTCTGACCGGCACCCTCTAACCTCCCCCCCGCACACACGTGATTCCTGGCAGGACAGAGGAGACAGGCCTCTGAGTTCTTTCTGGACCCCATCAGACTGGGGATGACTCTTTCAGGCTCTGGACTGGAGAGCAGGTGGACCCGGCAGAGCGGTCAGCAGGGGGCTCCCTGCGTTTTTATAACTGGCGCCTGGGGTGTCACTGGGGCACTCGAAAACCCACGCAACGAGCACGTCTGCTTCGTAGCTGTTCCCAACCGTCTGACTGCGTCAGGAGGAAGTCTCCTCCAGGGCCAGCTCGGTGTCGGCACCCAGCCCTCAGAGCCGCCGGTATTGTTTCATTTTCTCAGCATTTATTTTTATGGTGACCTTCGTGGTTTTCAACTTAAGGTAATGCTGTAAAAATTCACTTTAAAATAAGTTTGAATAGAATAAAAAGGTAAACCGTTTAAGGACAGCGAGGACACAATCGGCCATGGGCGTGGCCAGACTTGGGAAGGCGGAGCTCAGGGACCCAAGCTGGGGAAGGAGGCTCTAGATTCCAGAACAAAGGTCCTCATTTCACAGTTGGGGAAACTGAAGCCCGGATCGGAAAAGGGCTCCCTCCAGGTGACAGGGAGTGCGCCAGCTTTGGGTGATGCTCTCGCTTGTGTCCTGTGGCTGGACTGATGGGTGAGCCTGTGCCCTCTCCCCACAGTGCCCGGCACAGAGCAGCACCCGTTTGCTTACTGTATTTCATCAAAGCTAGCATGCCCCTGGCAAGGCATCCCAGTTGCTGAGATGTTAACATGTGGAAAAAAATAGTTTGTCTCAGAACAAACGAAATACTACAATGACTCCTTGTGACATCCTACTGAGGGAGAGCGAACTGAATTGTTTCTTGTGGGCAAATATCGGGTCTCATTGAAAATGAGGCAGAAGATGCTGGGATAAAGGGAGAGCAGGAGAGGTTTGATCCAGGCCCAAGGAGAGCTGTCCTTCTCGGGAAAGCCATAAAGGACTTGGAGACCTGAAAGCCACCCTTCCTCCCCGGAGGGCTGGCTGCCCGCCTACCCCCTGCCCCTACCCGGATGGAGCGGGTGCCCCTGACAGGCCCCTTCTCCTGGGCGTCTCAGAGGACTCACCATCCTCCCCAGGTGCCGTCACTATGGTGTTCCCATGTCCGATCTGGATGCCTTCAGAGTTCTGAATGGAGATGTGGCTGTTGGGCCCTTTCTGACAGATCATGTTGATGGGATTCTGCTGGTAAATGACAGCAGTGGGCTGATGTCTAGGACCCTCTGCAAAACAATATCCCACTCAGGGAAAGCGCTTGGCCCAGCAAGGCCCAGGTGTTGGGTGCTGCGGTTTCTCGTCACCGCTCTGCTCCTCTGTCCTGTCCGGCAGCACAGCAGGCGGGGGCCTACCTGGTTGATAAACCGCCCATGAGTGTGATTTCTCGTCTAAATGCAGGAGGTGCTTGTTCCTCAGCGCATACAAGTCTGGGTTGACTTCCTTGGCTGTCTTCATTCCCAGGGCCTGGGCGATGATCAGGGCCTTATGCGGCCCACGGGCTTCCAGAAACCTGTAGATCTCTTCCTCTGCGAGGCAGGAGGCAGGTGGTTAAGGAGGACCCAGAGTTTGAATCTGCTCCCCTGCGTGTGACCTTGGCAGACTCAGCCCCTCTGTCCATTGTCCTCATCTGTAAAATGGGCACAATCACAATGCACTGGCGGGGGAGGGCAGAGCTCCGCGGTAGAGCATGTGCTTAGCATGCACGAGGTCCTGGGTTCAACCCTCAGTACCTCTATGAAAGATAAACAAACAAACAAACCTAATTAACCCCCAAAGATAAAAAAAGAATAAACAGATCTTTAAAAAAATAAAAGCAGATATGATTAAAAAATAAATAATGCACTGCAGAGGTTGTCCTGGGGATCAAGGGCTCTGAACAGTGCCTGGCACGTGGTCAATAAATGCCAAGCACCCATCAGATCAATGATTTCTCAGCCATTTATCTTTTTTCACTGAAAAGACTGAGTCTTGCCTCCGAACACGTTGTGGGAACCTGTCAGTGGCTGGGGCGTGGCCTCTGAACACTTTTAACATCTCAAATGGCCAAAGAGAGTCTGGGGTCAGAGAGAACAGGGGCTGAGAGGCAGCGAGGGTGCTTACGCCGTTCACTGAGCTCCGCGCCAGGCTTCCTGGGGACTGCAACTGTGTCCTGCTGGGGCCTCTCTGCTGGAGGAAAAAAGACAAGTCGGGGGCAGAGGAAGAGGAGAGAGGCTGGGGACTCCACAGACAAAGGCGGCTGGCTCTGGAGGAGGGGCGCCCAGGCACAAATGTTGCCAGCTCGGACTCTAGAGTAAACCAAATTTGGCTTTGCACCCTACCCCGCCCCTTCCAGCTGTGTGGTTTGCACACTTGTTAACCTCTCTGGGAAACGCGGGAAGAAGCCCGCCGACTACCTCTGGGGTGGTGTGTGGGCTGAGGGACCCCCGGGCACCGCATCGGCCCCCTGTACGTACTTGACACACAAGGGCTCTTTTGGTCCACCGGCTGCAGCCCTAGAGAGAGCCCACGCGCGATGCTCAGCCTGTTCTGTGACCGTCACCACCCTAGTCAGAGTCACCATCATTATTGTTTGGCTGAGCACCTCTACGCGCTGGCGCTTGGCTGAGCCCTTTGCGTTGAATCCTCTTGAAACCCCACGAAGCAGCCCTACTGTTATCTCCATTGGCCGGAGAAAGATATCAAGGTGCAGTTAGGGGACTTCACGAACCGAAGCCCCAGTCTGGGCTTGGCCGTTGCCAGGGCTGCTCGTGCTGGGTCCCCCTCGCCCCCAGGATGGCAGGTTACCTGGCTCTGTGGGAACCACTTCTCTGGTCCCACTGTCGCCCAAGCACCACAGCGCGGGGCCCAAGAGGGTGAGTCCTCCTTTTGACTCCTTCTTCATTTGGTGCAGAACTTGGTTGAGTTTCTTCTTGGGCACTTGGCATTTCTTCACCAGGTGGGCAGTCTTCACAGGGGAGCCGGCGTCTCTCAGCATCTCCAGGATCCTCTCCTCAAGGTCTGGGAGAGGGAGGCAGAGGCAGAGAGAGAACTGGGGTCCCCTGACAATCCAGCCTGGGCTGGAGGCCCCCCAGGAGAGGGGTCCAGGGCAGAGGGAGGAGCAGAGGTCTGAGCAGACATCCGACAATATTTCTGTTCAGTGAGCTGGTCAGAAATGACCTTGGCTGGACAGCCTGGTGGCCAGAGGAGGTGCCCAGGCCCTGTGAGTGTCCTCACCTGGTGTGAGCGCTTGAGGGCAGGTGGGACCACTCAGGTCTCAGATGTCCTCAGAGCAGAGGGGAGTGGGGGCGTTAGGATGCAGGAGGGTGAGGGCAGAGCACAGGAGGAAGGAGGGGCGGGGAGAGAGGCCTGCTTCTGGTTTTCTCTGACCCTGGTCCTCCTCCTCCCTGCGGAATCTGCCCCTCCTCTTGGGCTCATCATCCACATGAGTGACGTCACGATGTACCCCTGCCAGAAACCTAGTGTACCTTCAGAAATGGCTCTTTCTCCTGGACACCCAGTCATGGAGTCCTGGAAAAACTATTCCTGGCTCTCCCCTCTTTGCCTCCACCTCCCTGCTCCTTGTCACCATCTCCTGGATGCCAGCGATTCCACCAGCTCCAGTCAGGTTTCCTCTGGGCCACCCTCCCCTCAGCAGGCAGCATTGCTTCTGCCAGCCTCATCTTCACTTACCCTCAGCTTCCCTTCAAGTGCCAATGTCCCTGTATTCCCTTCAGCTCCACTCACCCCAGGGCCTTTGCACATGCTGTTCCCTCTGTCAGGAACATTCTTCCCCAACCCCAACCTGTCCACCTCAGGTCTCACTCAGACTTCATGGTTGGGAAGCCATCCTGGATGCCCTGAGCAGGTGGGGTGCTGTCTGTGTGTGGGTCCCCTGAAGCATGTCCTCAAGGACCCCCTGCTGTGATTGCCCAGCTCCCTGTAGTGCCTTTGGAGTCTAGCACAGTGCTGGGCACACAGTAGGGTCTCAGGAGATGGCATTTGAATGGAGGAGTCACTGGATGAATGAGTACATGTCCTCTGCTGGATAGGTGTCCACCCAGATGACCAGGACAAGGGACAGACAGCTCCTCCTGAATCTCTTTTCCCCACCTGAGCTTAGTGGCCCTAAGCAGGACCCTCTGAGGCTCAAGGAGGAACTTTCCCAATGGCCCCTGCTCCTCCCAGACAGGGTCCCCTAAGCCCAAACCAGCTGCTGTGTGGGCAGGGAGAGGCCTGAGTAGACCCGGGGCTGGTAGCGCCGGGAGCTGGAGAGAGGAAATGTCTCCTTCCGAGAAGTCCGAGGGAAATGCGGAGCAGGCCCTTCTTGGGAAGACCTGGGTCGGCTTCCAGGGCTGAGACCCGATCCTTTGCCTTCTGGGTTTTTCCCAGGGTCTTTCAAGGCAGCACTAGTGGGGAGGGGACAATCTATTTGCTGACTCTGCGCTGGGTGCTGTCGCTTGCTCTTGTGGTCAAAATGTTTGCATCCTTGCTGGGTGTAGATGACAGAACACTGGGCCCTCCCCCCTTCACCCACCAAACTCTGCCCCCTACAGTAGAGATCCCCACCCCGCCGACTGTGGCTTTGCCTAGTCTTGACAAGAGTTTTGATTCTTGAAAAGCCTGTTGTGGATAACCCTCTTCCCCTCCCTCCTCTTCCGATCCCCTGACCCTGAAGAGGAAATGGGCCTGCAGTGAAGGCTGGGCTGGCCTCGCTGACTGAGTCCTCAAGCTGGTGAACGGGAAGTGTGAAATGGACAAGGTGCAACAAGTTGGTACGAAGGAAAACCCACCGGGGAGGAAGTTAAATTTGGTTCCCAAGTGCCCTGGACAGGTAACTGCACGTTCCCTTGGGGAAACAGAAGAGGAACCTGGGACCACCCCCCTCCGGGCTCCCTGGGCCACACCCAGTCGGCCTCCCTCCGTGATACACCCTATTTTCCTGGGCTTGAGCCCTAGCTCTGCGACCTCTCTGAGCCTCAGTTTCTCCATCTGCAAAATGATGTTAATAGCCATGACTTCAAAGATTGTGGGGAGGAGTAAACGAACTAATAATGGTCACAATACAAAATCAAACAAAAAACCCTCAGCCCACAGCCCACAAGCTTTAGATGAGGACCCTCGAAAATAGCAATTGCTCAGTAATAATGAACTTTCACCACGTAATTCCAGGAGTAAAGTATTATCTGAGGAAGGAATGCAGCCAGAGGAAAACCACACACATGCAGATGCCCCTCTTATCAAAGCAGTTTCCGTGCTTCCTCAAAGTGAGCATGAAGATGGGTGTTCAGCCCCAGGCTCAGCCACAATCCGAGTCATTTCACCCACAGGGCCTCAGGGATCTCACATGTAAGGTGGTATCACGCGTGCCCCTGCGGGTGACTGCAAAATGCACACAAAGCTTGTTGCAAGATGCCTGGGGCAGAGCAAGGCTTCTGAGCCAGATTCCACCTGCTCTCCCTTTCTTGTTACTGCTGTGCTGTCAGATACTGTCCTCGCCGGGCTGTAGTCCGGGTGCAGGAAAAGAACCAGAAAGAAGTGCAAGCTCCACCTGAGAACTCCCACTGTTCCTTGGGAAAAGGGAGTACCTGTCTCTCCGGGGTCGGCGGGGGCCTCGGCCATGCTGATGGCAGCTGCTGGGAGCTCGGGAGACGCAGGGCAGCGGCAGGCTCCGACTCCGTGGCCTTGAGAGGTGGACCCGGTGGAAGGCTGTTTAGTGGCCTGGCCTGGTGCTTCTGGCAGCTGTGAAGCGACTGCAGCTTCACCCGGGCAGCTGTCAGCTGCTCACACCCCGGAAGCAGAGCCCTGACCAGCCCAACCTTACAGAATTCTGGAAGAAAAGAAAACGAAACTTCTGTGTGTGGTTTTTGATGGAAACAAAATTGAAAGCAGAATTGATGAGCAAGACGGGATCCAGCCTCCAACTGGATGTTGGTAGGGAGGGGCTGAGACGCAAGATCACAGGATCCTCTGGGGCCGCTGCCCACCCTGCCCCCGGCACACAGGCCAAGACACCTGGGTGGGTGGATGGGTGGGTGCCCTGTGATCACCCATGTGCATGTCAAAACGACAGCCTTCTTTAAAGAGTATGTATTATGTACTTCCTAGTCTCATTTGCTGCTGACTCATCGCCAGGGTAGGGGCTGGTACTGGCCTCTTTTCTCAGAGGGGAAACTGAAACCAGTTGTCCAAAGCTACAGAGATGTTTAGATTCTAACCCAGCTCCACCATTTACTGGCTGTGGGACCTTGGGCTAGTTATTTAACCTATTTGGGCCTCAGTTTTCACGTCTCTAAAATGGGTTAATAAAATCAGCGACCTCAGGTGGTCGTGGTGAGGACTCAAAAGGTTAATCCAGACACCATGTACACTCATGAGCCCAGCTGGGCACCCGCATACCTGTCTCTGAAGAAAGGACCCATCGCTTTTGTACATTCTCAAAGGAGTCATTGATGCCCCGCAGTTCAGAGCCCCTGTTCTGGTCCAGGTAATAGAAGGGGAAGCTGAAGCCTACGGAGGTGAAGGGCTTTGTGTGAGGCAGCCCAGAGGATCAGAAACGCAGCCCAGCAAGTCCCACGCATCGTGCTCCCAGCTGCAGAGGCCGGGGAGGGTGTGTGAGGCTCGCGCTCCCTGGGGGACCCTGTCCCCAGCATTCTGCAAAGGGAGGGGCTTAGGGACATTCACATCCCTGGAAAGGGTCCCCGAGGCGTGTCTCAAGCTGTCTTTGCAGAGCAAGCAGGAAAAATCGCGATCCCTAGTCCACACTCAGACCAGTTAAATCCCAATCTCAGGAGGCGGAGCCAAGGGTCCCTGGTGATTTCGTTCGAACCCAAAGTGTAGTGTTGGACGACCGAATAAAAACAGGAAGCCGCAATGAGGCCCTTGTTCCTTTTTAACGTAAAACTGAAGAAAAGTGTATGTCGATGTGAACTGACAACGATAATTTCAAATGCGGAGTAACTGGGGATGTTGAGAGGGATTGTGAGGTGCCCTCTGGGTGGGGAGCACTGAGCCCCCGCGGGCTGGGAGCACCGAGCCCGCGTGGGCAGCTGGGA